TAGGAAAGGGGTGAGGTCAATAGTAGACAGTCTAAGGTTAAAGTTTTTGGGGTTTGGGGAAGAAACTACAGAGTCGGGTAGAGTATTCCGTTGTTGGCAGGTCCTATCTTGTTTGGTCACTGGGACCTAAAGTTTAGTTTTCCAAGCTTTCATACTAGCGATGGAGCACATTTTTCGGGAACTTCAGTCTACCAGAATGTATGCTTTGGGCTATTTTATGGGTAATTTATTTATTTATTTATTTATTTGATTTGCCAATACAAGATAATAAGTATAAGTGTATACATAGTTGTGAATACATGAAATGGGTACATATAAGAAAAATAAAAGAAGAATAAGAGAAACAATAGGACAGGGACGGTAGGCATGTTGGTGCGCTTATGCACGCCCCCTACAGACCTCTTAGGAAAGGGGTGAGGTCAATAGTAGACAGTCTAAGGTTAAAGTTTTTGGGGTTTGGGGAAGAAACTACAGAGTCGGGTAGAGTATTCCAGACATTGACCACTCTATTGCTGAAGTCATATTTCCTGCAATCAAGTTTGGTGCGGTTAACATTGAGTTTGTATCTATTGTGTGCTCTTGTGTTGTTATGGTTGAAGCTGAAGTATTCATTGACAGGTAGGACATTGCAATGTATGATTTTATATACCATGCTTAAATCAGACCGAAGACGGCGTAATTCAAGGTTTTCTAGTTCTAGAATTTCAAGTCTGGTGGCATAAGGTATTCTACAACGAGTAGAGGAGTGGAGAACTCTTCTTGTGAAATATTTCTGGACTTTCTCAATTGTGCTAATATTTATGTGCTGCCTGGTTGTGTGTGGCTTTTTGTTGATTGGGGCTATTAAGTCCTTGACTGTTGTGCACTTACCCAGATTTGATCCTGCAATGTCGCAAAACACAAATACACATACAGGTAGTCCTTGCCTTATGTCCATTCATTCAGAGACCATTCAAAATTATTGTGACATTGAAAAAAATGGACTTATGACTAGTCCTGGAAGTTTCAGCATCTCAGCTCCCCCACAGTCATGTGATCGCAAAATGACCCCCAGGTTCACCTTGCACTTATAACATTGCAGCAAGCCACAGTCATCTGATCATCATTTGGGACCTCAGCTGACTTCCCACAACAAAGTCAATGGGAAGCAGGCTGAGAATATCACAAATTCTTCTAATAAGTTGCCCAAACTGCTTCTTCTCCTGAGGAGCCTATTCTTCCATACCATCATCTTTGTAATGTAGACATTTACCCTTTGTAGCGAGGCCACTCTGAGCTCTCCCAAAACTTCTTTGACCCATAAACAGCGTTTGCTAGCCTACCTATGTCTTTTTAACAGCTGGTCACTACAACCTCCATTCCCCAAGAGCACCTTCCACCACCCAACCCCAGTACTCCCACATTCCTTGCCTGGGACTCCATTTCTTCTGGTTTAGTGACCGGTGTTGTCCTGGGATTATGATGGCAACCAGAATTGTTGTTGCACATTATATCATGTTTTACAACCATATCATCCAATTGTATCAATTATACAACCAGAAACTTTACATGATGGAAAGGGATAACGTTAAGTGCTTGTTGCTCTCTGAACCTGATGGCTTTCTTGCAGTGTTTCATTACCAAACTAAACATCAAATTGGATTTGCTCTTATTTTTATATACTAGTGACTTGCCCTGTCAGCATTGGTAGGAGTGTCCTTGGTGGTTCTTTGGTTCTGCTATGCAGTTTATTAGAGATTTATATTTGACACTACTGGGCAGGGCACACTGTCATGGGTATTCGTGCAGAAAGAATAATTGTTCCTTGATGGAAAAGTGCCTACATGCAAATTTCTCCCATTTGTGTGCTTTATGAAGTATTTGATTTTCATATGTGGTATTGACAGAAAAAATATTTATAGGTCAGAGTTGAACTGTGAGGTCCTGGGGACTCTGAATTTGGTGGTTTTCTTGCAGATGCTTTGCTAAACAAACTAGACAATTAACAAACATGAATTTCTTATTTATAAGTTGGATTGCATCATAGCATGACTCAAAAATATGTATGAGACACAGAAGAAATTTAGAAATATAATTGTTTTAAACTTGCATGATTGTCTTGGTCAGACATATCAGATGCATGCATAAGGAAGATGTAATATTTTTTCAAAGTCTATCTGACTTGATTTAATTAAATTTATATAGCCACTCATCTCACACATGTGACTATGTCTGGCACACACAATTTAAAATGTCAAGACAATTAACAGTGAAAAAACTAAAACATTTAAATACAATTAAAACATTTTAAAACTATAAATAAAACAAAAATCACAGGAGAATGGATTCCAAAAATAACCAAAAATATAACCATTTAACAGTTTGTTTAGTATTCTCAATCATTATATACTTTTAGAATTCCTCACTAGATTAAAATACAGCATGATAATAGTTCTAGTAATTTTGTGATTAATAATCAGAATGTGGTAACAAATGAGGTGTGCTTATTCTTAAGGATTTTTTTTGTCCTCTCCAGTTTTTAATATGGACCTCAACAGACAAAATTATTTCGAGGTATTCCACCAGTGTATCAATAGTATATACAGCTTTACCTCCATCTTCAAACTTTTGAGCTCAATAAATTATCAGAAACCCTAAATAAGACGGATGTACCAAGATATTCCTGTCAAATGTTGCACAAAAGGTAAGAGCCATAAGCCATTCACCCAAGGCTGTGCTTTGTTTCTCCTCGCCTGCTTCCTTTTCTACAGACACAAATGTTTTTTAAAACAACTGTTCTATAATTCTCCTTTGTGATATATTTTTTAATATGTTTATTGAAAGTTTCAAAACAAAAAAAGAATATATTTTAAAAAAATGTTTTCATAGCAGTGTACATTTCTATTAGTGTCAATTAAAGTCATTTGTTACAAGTAAATCTATAACCTGTTTCCTAGATCCTTACTTTTTATGTTATTATTACAATTATAATACAATATTTATTTAATTGATTAATTATATCACTTTACATACATAGCTATATATACATTTATCCCTATTTCCATTTTCCCTTGTTTGTTTAATCGGTTTCACTAGACATCTTTACTTCCTTTTTATACAACCATTTGTACCATATATTCCAAGTTGTAAAAAACTCCCCCTTTTCCTTATTTTTTAGTAACATGGTTAGTCTAACCATTTCTGCACATTGGTGGATTTTATTAGTTATTGCCAGGTCCGTGGGTGTCATTGTTGATTTCCAGTTTTGGGCAAAGACTATCCTTGCTCTATAATGATATGATATCAGATGCTGATGTTTTTTGCTCCATGTCGGTTCTATCGGATGTTGTTAATCTTATTTAAGCAAGAAAAACCAAGTCATATGTTCATGTTAAGAAAATGACTAGATTATACAGAAATATGATACTTGCTGATAAAATGAAGATGTAAAAGTGATTGAAAATGGGAAATGGAACTTACATTTCATTGTAATATAGTTGGTGAGAGCTTCATACTTCTTGGAAAGTTAACACTGGTGTTTGACACATAACAGGGGTATCATACTATTGTCTGCATCTTATCTAATTGGCTTGTGGCAACTTTGAGTTGAATGAAAGGTAAACTGAATGAAACTTAAAACTTGGTTAAGATGAAAGTATGGTTCATCTTGAGCCAATAACTGTTAGACAAGAGGCCAGTTAAAAAAGGCAGTGACAAACTACTTCTGAAAATGTTATCACAAAAACTGAAAAGACGTGTCCAGACAATTGCCAGGAGTCAAGGTTACCCACCTCCCCAAGTCTAGACTTGGCAGCAGAGTACCACTAAATTATTTTTTAATTTGTTAAGGGGGGGCGGGATATCAGTTGCTAGGGAAAAAATGAAGAGTTTCATCCTTATATCATGTTTATGAACTTCTCAGAAACATTTGCTATGCAATGCAAAATGCTGTAATAAAACTTTTGCCCAATCTATCAGCACACTTCTAATGGTTTTTTTAAAAGTGGGCTTTGGTAAGCAATAAAAGGTACACAAACCAATAATATAATTTAATGAGCGAGAGAAGGAAAACTTCTATTAGAAACAAAACCATTCCTGTCCCCGTTATCTACAAATATGTGCATGAAGAAACAGATAAATTACAAGGACAGCTTTTGAATTAAGACATATTGTGAAAGTCACAGCTGCTTTAGCCAGTCAAGAAGAGGTGTTTCATTCTTATTAAAGCACATTGCACTGCACTTCTTTTAAAATGTTTTGCACACCCAACTTCCCAATGTACAGTAATACATTTAAAATTATTATTTTTTAAAAAATTCAAATATCTTGATTCGTAAAAAGGACATTCAAGCTTGCTAAATTAGCGTATGAACAATCTAGTCCTCCAGCTGAATTGTTTGTTAATGTTAGCTAAATAAAGTTTCCATCTTTAGAAATGCTACATTTCTAAAAATCAGTTTCTAAACTCACAATAATTCTTGTCTGAATGTGAGCTACGGAGGAAAGATTAATGGAAAAGAATATTAGCTCAGCTTGAGCTCAGCTTGAATTATGCAGTCTGAGTTGGCTGGTTGCTTGCAAATGTTTTGTTACGGACAATATTTTCAATACTCAGTAGTTAAGATTACCTAATCAGGTAACGCAACATTTGCAAGGAAACAACCAACCTCAGGAAGCACGGGGGGAAACAGCTGAGGGGAGTAGGACGGACTCTATCCAAGTAGGGGGCGTGCATAAGCGAACCAACGTGACTACCGTCCCTGTCCTAGTGTTTCTTTTATTTTTCTTATATGTATTCATTTCACGTATTCATAACTATGTTTATCCTTATACTTATTATCTTGTAAGCGATTGACAAATCAAATAAAAAGTCCTTCAAGCCCTTCGATGAACCGCAGGCAACCGGACGAACGTAAATAAAGGTCCTTATTGTAAACCCAAACCCTTTGCTTCAAAAACATCCCATAGGCTGCCGTCTACCAGTTACCGAAAGACTATTGCGCATGCGCAGGTTGGCTCTTTTACTTTTGTCGGAATAATTACCATCAGTTAGACGGAAAACCCTAACTGGATAACTAGGAGAGGGAACGGCATTACACAATTATGTTTTATTGTTCTAACGAAAGGTGGTATTGTAATCAAACTAATAAGGAAAAGGAAGCAAACTGCGTTCTTTTTGCTCATAATTATGCATACACTTGGGATTTGCTACTCACTTTAGTGAGCAGGGGATTGCGTATTTTTGCTAAGCAGTCGATCTTCCCTAAGCTGTCCCACCGTGTCGGAATTTGAGAAGAGCAGGAAAGGGGGCTAATAGTATGACTGTGGGAGGGACAAAGAGGTCTAGACTTCCACCCCAGTTTTGAAGCGGGAGCAGAAAATAAAGGCCGGTAATGGTGGTGCATTATTAACTAAAGATTGCTATTGTCTTTCAAATCTAAGACGCTGGCGTTGCAGTTGCAGAACATTTTTTTTTCTTTCTGTCCCATTACTGATTTTTTCGGAAGTACAGATAACAACAACTACTACAAGAGCAACATTCTGTTTGGATCCAGTTTACGTCCCTCTATTTCTAAAATCTACGACCGCTAGTGTGCATGTAAATTGCTGGGCCGTTTTTTGTCAGGCTAATATCTTTGCTTCCTTTTATCTAAGCCAAGAAGAGGATATCGGCAGCATCGAGGAGAAAGGAAGGGGAAATCTGAGAAGGCCTTTATGCACAGAAGCCTGGTAACATATATATTTGTGTTTATTTAGAAGAAAACAAGTGTTTCAGAGAAGCACTTTGAAATCCTCTCTCCTTCATTATCATTTGCCTTAGGCCATGCTTAGAATGTTTTATAGATAGACGCAGATTTCTTCATTTTTTTACTGTTCTCAACAGTAAATATCTGACAAATCAAAAAATCTCAGTATCTAGGAATAAGCCTCAATGAGCAAAGTTGGGTACCATTGAATAAATGTGTTGCTAACGTTATTTAATGTAAGCAAGATTAGATAGTTATCTGAAAATGAAAATAAATAGAATACTTTATAATTCAGTTTTAATTAGTTGCTTTTCAAAATTAGAACTACGATTTTTTTTAAAGTTGCTTTTTTCCATCAGTTTTTTAATATTGGTAAAACACTGGTCTATTTTCAACATCCAGGCAGATAGTATTAAGACAAATTTACCTTTTAATAAAATCTCAAGTAAAACCTTCATTTTGTATTTTTGCATGTGATTTTTTGCACATTTTTTGTGAAGTTTGGATGCAAGTTTCACAATTTGGTTATACAATCGTTTTTCTGGAAGTAAAAAATAGATTGTACGTATACTTTACCTACAAATGTACATTCTTCTCTTGATTTTGCTTAGTTCCATTGACAATACAGTCATTTTTTACAGATCTTACACGTGTGAGGAGGGGTATGCATATCCCAAGATAGTGCCAAAGAAGTTATAAAGGTTCTTATGACTCACCTTTAGATAATAGCTATCTCCCAAACTGAGTCAGTTGGCAATTCTAGACCAGAAGAACCTCAAAGGGGGTGTGGCAAAATGGGTAATCAGGTAATGCGCTAACAATTTTCATCTGCCTCAGAATTTGAGACTTGTTAATTTAAAAAAAGAAGGGAAGAAAAGTAAATAATGCTTAATTTTGTCTCTGTTGCTTTTTCGGGGCATTGGAAATGTTACATATTCCAGGCTTAGTATGATCTGGTATGTTATGAACTCAAACGTATTCCCGCCCCCCCGTGCCTCGTTTTTGGCCTCCACTGGCCTCAGCAGCACTCTGCTGGCCAAAGATGGGCTGCATGGAGGCCCTGCGAGGCCCCCACATGGCCTGTTTTTAGCTGGCTGAGTGCTGCAGGAGACAGTGGAGGCTGCAAACAGGCCGCAGGGGAGTGCACTCAGCCCCCCACGGGCAGAGGCACCATGGGCTGGTCCTTTGATATTTCCAGGCTGGTTCCATGGGCCAAATTTAAGCATCCCGCGGCCTTGAGTTTGACATCCCTGCACTAGAAGATTGATTTAAAGATATTAAAAACTATTACTAATAATATTTGTTTATTTTAAATGTGCTGTTATTTGATGTAATATTCAAACAGCTAGGGACTACATGATAAAGCATAGGGTAGGCTCCTCGCTGTGTAGAGAATGAGCAAATGACAGTTCACACCCCCAATACCAGTAAATATCTTTCACCTGTTTCTCTGAAAATTACTGTTACCAATGATCTGTTTTGCTGATGATATATCAATTAGAGTACAGTATCTAAACACAATAATATGACTTATCTGTAAGTCAGTTTATTTTAATGCTCCTGTCAAACAAGCAATTATTTTGTTCAAACAGTTTCTTACGTCAACTAGAAAGCTTAATTTGATTCAGTAATCTTCATTTTGGGCAGGAAGGAGGTTTGCCTATTGAAGATGACTGCATAAAAGATTCATTTTATATTTGTAAGTTCTTCCGTATTTTTGATTACAGTTTTTATATTACTAAAATGTCAAGAAGAGTTGGAATATAAATAAATACATTTAATTACAACTTGTTAGAAAATTATTTGAGAAGTTCAGGAAGAATCATAAACATCTACCTGAGAAAAGTTTTTAATCCATAGTTTGTTAATGAAATTTGATTCTCCTAAATTTCAGGTGATATCAGGGATCCAGAAAAGGAAAATATATTTGACTCAGCTGATGATTGAATATAAAAGCAAATATTCTGCAGAGCAAATATCCGTCACTTATTCCTGCTAATCTGGCTCCTATAACTGCGTCTTAATCTATGATGTAAATTTAAATTCACAGGTTTTCATTTTATATTCTAAATTTTATACTCCCCCATAATATTTATTTCAGTTTTCATGATGATACTAATCTCTTATAAAAGTGAGGAATATATTAAAAATGCAGAGTCTATATGCTCACCTCACCTTTTATATTTTATGTTTCTTCCGTAAATATTTGTCCAGGAGAACTTAAAGAATATAATATATTTTTGGATAACTTTGACGTATTGCTCAAGTCTTTTTAATTTTATCGAAAGAAAAATCAAATGATCATAATTTTTCATTAGTTCATTGCTGTAAATTTAGTGTGCCTTCCAATGTTGCATAATTTTTATCAACCGCCCTCAGTTCTTAATGCCTTGAATAATTCCAAATTGCAAGAGTAGCAATGCAAAAAAAAGAACAAGAAGAATAGAGGGATCTTTAACATTCCATGATTGTTCTTATATAATTGTTGTAAATGAATAAATATTAGCAGACTTTCTGATTTCAGTCCACCATATGACAATAAAGGGACGATCAAATCCCTTAATTTTTCAAATGAGTTAATGTTCCAAATGTTTTTAAAATAACATTTCCAATAACATGAATGCAACCAACCCTTATTAAACGGATTTTAGGATCAGTGAGTAAAAATCATAGTGTTTCCTATATGGAAATTTTGTTCAGTGAGGAATAGAATATTCCAGTTAAACAAAGAGCACTGAAAATAGTGGTCTATGTCCTGTCTGTAAAGGACACATTGAGTCAATATTCTGTATCTATATCAGAAAAAACTGTTAACCCTAGGATAAATAGCTCTCAGTAAGTTAAACCAAATGTTCCAATCAAATCATGACAATAAGATGTGGTTTTGATTATAGGAAACTTTATGGGCTTTTTGTGTAAAACATAAAAAGATGAACTTAATCTATAGTTGTGACAAATAGATTATAGAAAGAAGAGAGTCATGAGGTAACTTTAGAGAAAGATTGTTCTCATAACTGTTTGTAAGGAAGATTGGAAACCACTTCGTATTTTCTATTCTATCTTTTTTCTTTAGGAAAAATCCCTTTAGGATTCTCTTTTTTACATTTTTGGCTTCAATCTTTAGTTTATCTTTCCTCTTGTTTTTACATTTTTCAGTAAAATAATATTTAAAAAAGACTATAGGGACCGTCCCCCTCAAACACATTTATACACACATTATGCCCCAATCAAAAGAGATATCCCAATTCAGAAAAATGATGTTTTGATCACCATGATGCTTTTTTTGTTGTTGTACTTGCCCTGTGACTTGATGCCATTCTGAGACTTTAATAACTCCAATTCTGTTAGCATTCAAGAAAGCTTTGAAGACTTGGCTATTCTCCTGGACATTGGGGCTTGGAGGCATAACTCTGATTGTTTTCCCCCTTTTTTGTATACTAGGTAGAATCACAGTTATGGATTGGCCAGTCATATAATTCATTTTAATAAGGCTGGAAATGGCTACAAATCACAGCCAAAATCTTTGGCCTCCTTTAATCCACAATCAGGCAGACAATGTATAAATGAAGAAAAGGCAAGCTAATTGTTACACTTCCCAGAAATGGTGATGCCACAAAAATCACCGAAGTGGAAAGTATGCAGTAATGTGGGAAGCTGCAGTATAGAAACTTAAAGATCTGCAGACTATCTAATGTGAGTATTCATGAGTGCATTACAATAAGAATATCAAACAAGAATTTAATGATACCAGGGAGAAAAATGCTCAATATTGCCATCATCTTCAGTTTGCGAAGAACCACCAGAATGACCTAGAAGATTTTTATGATTAAGATAAAAACAGAGTTTTGTGGCATTGATAAGAAACTATGAACAAGCTAAAAAAAACTATGTTCAAGCAAAAGAGCAGCATTTCACTATGAAGCATGGCAATAGAAATATCATACTTGGAGACTCCTTTGTAGATTTAAGCAGTTGGATGTACAATGGAGTCTGGATTGTACTGCAAATTCTAAAAGAGAAAGTCAAAATATCCATCTGTAGCACGAAGCCTAAATGAACGTGAGTCATATACCATGATGATCCTAATATACAAACATGAAACAATAAATGAAATAAAAATAAATAAATTTGGGAATAACCAAGTCAAGGTCTTGCTCTTAACCAAGTAAAACAATAGTAGTTCATGTAAGACTACCCCAAAATATCAATAAACTGAAGCAGTTGTCTAAAGAGAATAACTATATGCCAAACAATTATGCAGAATTGATCCACAAGTACAAGAAATGTTTGAAATTATTGATGCTCTGGTTTTATGTAATTTTTGCAACAAAGTGAAGTCTTAAAATATTCCTTCTATCTCATGGCTGAAGAATATTGGAGGGGCAGAGCATGGAAGAAAAAAATTCTGGTGGTAAGATGGACAACTGCATCTGGACTTGACTAGGATTTGCACCTATAGGTAATGATGAAGTTAACACCATGGCAAGACATTCAGAAAATTGGGTGAGAAATCTTTTTGTGCCACAGTAGTGCTTACTTAGCAGACATATGCCTTTGCAGTGACATCCCAGAGATGGAATTATAAAGAGGAACAATTATCTCCTATTAATTTGCAATCTATAAACGGTAGTGATGGGGCCTAGACAGGACAAGCAGTCTCCCTGCCATTTATGTGAGTTTTTATAGTTGGAGTCAAGCATTAGAAGATTGCATCTTCTACTGTGCTAAAAAAATGGTCATTCAAAACCATCATTCAGAGTATAGCAAATGCTATTTTTGTCTGTGTCTGTCTGTATATCTATCTTTTAGCCTGCCATTTACTCATTTATACCTTGTGATATCCTTCTATATTTCAAATCATGGGATTTGCTGCTGCTTCAGAGCACTGTTTACCTTGTACATGTAGTCCTCGACTTACAACCACAATTGGACCAAAATTTATGTTGCTAAGTGAGACATTTGTTAAGTGAGTTTTGTCCCATT